CCATGCCTTGTTGACCAAAACATCGTTCTGTGAGCAAAGGACCTGAGGCTCAAAGCTATGTGGCTTCTTGTGACTTTGCAGATCCTTGTGGCAGACAGTGGGCAAAGCCAAAGGCCAGCCAAGGTCATCCTGAATGTGCCGATTGAGGTGACAGGCAATTTACACCGCGGCAGATTTGCAATTTTGCAAGCACAGCTGAACTGTGTACCATCCCACAGAAAGACAAAGCCAGCTGTGTGCAGCATCCATTCAGAACTCTTATGTGATGCTCATGCCAAGCTGCAGGCCACGAGGGTCTGCGTCGTCGCCACAGTGCGGGCACAGACTGCGGGTTCTGAATATTTTTGGTCATATTTTGAGTTTATTGAGAGTGTAGTTAAATTTCAAATAGTTGGCTCATGATTTATTCTAGAAAAATCCAATAGCTTTTACGAGAAAAAAAAATAAAAATTATATAATTTTCATGAAACATAGAAAAAAAATCCAATAGCTCGGTTGGGAAATACTTTAATTAATTACATATTTTGAATATTGTAATTACAGCCCTTTTTATTTTTACATTCCACTTTGAGATAGGGTCTCACTAAGTTGTCCAGGCTAGCGTTGAACTTTATTTATTTATTTATTTATCATATTGCAGTAATGTGGATTGAACTCAGGACCTTGTAGTTGCCTGCAAGGCAGGCACTTATGCTGCTGAGCTATCTCCTGAGCCCTCGGGTTCTGAATTTTGGAAACTACTGTTCACTGGGAGCATCCTGGGCTGACTGCGGATTTCCATCCTGTTCTGTGTATCTTCGAATCTCTGCTTTCTGAGCTGACAGAAATTGCTCTGGGCCTTGATCAATATGTGTGACTTCTTCCCTTCTTCTCATCCTTACATGAATGCCCCACTTTGTAGGGCCCGGCTTAGACACTTGCTTATGATCAGCTAGAAAATTCCAAAGAGGAAAAAAAAGGTTTTTTTTTTGGTACCAGGGATCGAATTCAGGACCTTGCACTTGCCAGACAAGCACTTATTCCACTGAGCTATCTCTCCACCCCCAACCCCCAGAAGGGAAAATTGTTTCAACCTTCCCTGTGGGAAACCCTGTGATTCAGTCACTTTCCTCCTTGCTGAGACCCAACACGCAACGCTCACAACTTAAGGAGGAGGAGCGGTTTATTCTGGCTCGGGTTCCTATCCATATTTGTCAGGCTCCAAGGCAGAACATCATGGTGGAAGGAAATGGCAGAAGACTACTGCTCACAGGCACGGCCAGCAGGAAGCAGAGAGAAGGGAGGAACAGCGAGGGAAGATAAACCTTCCAGGCCACGCCCCCAGCAGCCAGGCCACGCCCCCAGCAGCCAGGCCACGCCCCCAGCGACTCCCTTCTTCCAACCATACCTGACCTGCTTCCTATAATAGCAAGCTGGCCACAGTCTCAGGTCCCATAACCCAGCCACCTCCACAAGCCCCCTTGTGAGCACAGGCAGAAATGGGGAACATCTAGACAGAAACCCAGAGTGCTCTGTGCAAGCAAAGACATGTCAGCCTTAAAAAATGAGCTTCATTCTGGTAGCAAACCAAAGTTTAGATGCGTGGCTGGGTGCGTGTGCCTGGGTTTCCCACACCCACGAGATTCTCTTGGGAGTGCGGCCAGTTTTCCAATGAAAAGTCTTTTCCTTTTTTTATTTTTATTTTTTTTTGGCGGAACCGGGGATTGAACTCAGGCCCTTGCGCTTGCCAGGGAAGCACTTATTCCACTGAGCCATCTCCCGGCCCCTTTTTCCTTTTTTTAAAAAATCTTTTTGAGATAGGATCTCATTCTGCAGTTCAGGCTGGCCTTGAGCTCACTTTCTAGCCCATGCTGATCTTGAACTTGCAAAGATCCTCCTGCCCCAGCCTCTTGATTGCTGGGATTACAGTCTGTTCTTCAGGCCTTAACTATGCTTTCCCTTGACTGCCTGTTTCCTGCTTCCTTTTTTCACTTCTCCTTCACCTGATGCCCTCCTCAGAAGCCTCCCCCTAGGGAACAGATAGGCTGCTTTTTAGGCTGTGACCTTGTCACCCTCATTGTCCATCAAACTAGGCAAACAGTGGCCTGTAGCCTCTGACGCCAGCCTGGGGTGTGGCACCCGCTGCAGGAATTCAATGAATGTGTGGTGTTCACAGGGGATGACACTGGAGTCCCCTAGACTGGATTCCTAACATAACAGTCAGAGACTGGACAGGGCCGGCACTGGGAACAGACTGTGAGCACCCAGGGCCAGTACCCACGCCAGGAATGTGGATCGCCTCTGGAGAGCACAAGAAATAGACTCTGGCACTCTCCACCCCTCCTGGGAGCTTCTGCTGTCCCTCCCCAACATCCCCATCTCCACCACCTGCTCGCTGTGGTTGACACAGGCTGCCGAGGAGGGGGACCCAATGGGAAGTAAGGGCAGTGGGAAAAGGGTCTGAAAGGACTCTGATGCTCTGGGGTCCTGTGTCTTCAGCTGGCTTTTGAGGACAGGTTGAGACCAGGTGGGGCAGGGGGAGATGTCCTGGGCCAGCACAGTTGAGATGGCAGAGACAATCACAGTATCTCCATTTCCACTGTGGGCAGGTTAGCCCTGTGTGCTGTGTTGCCTGAGCCCAGGTGAGTGAGACCACAGGTGCCTGCTGGCTGGGTGTCTGTTAGGACGCTTAATTACCCTGGTCACAGGTCCTGGGAGTTTCCCAGGGGCCTCCGGGGTTCTGAGAGCTCTCTCAGGCCCAGGACAAGAAAGGCAGTGGTACCAGAGCACAGGATAGTGTGCGGCTGGCATTACACTGTCCTTGGCTGGACTGGGCAGCTTGTAGGATGCTGGACAGTGTGGCCAAAAATCAGATCGGCAGAGGCCAAGAGCCTCTGTTCCTCCCGAATTTTCTAATTTTAAGACAGAGTCTTCCTATGTAATTTGGACTGGTCTTCAGACTCACTATGCAGCCCAGGCTGGCCTCAAACTTGAAGTGATCCTCCTATCTCTGTCTCCTGAGTGCTCGTGTCATGGGTGTGTGGAGCACTGAGCTGTGGCCCTGGCCACCCAGCACCACTGTGCACACTCAGCCCTGGTCCCCCTGGTATGGAGACCAGGACTAGGCCACCATACCCAACTACCTGCTTGCTTTTTATTTTTCCTTTTTTTTAAAAAGGCTTTTAGGTGTTTCCTACAGGAATTCTGGGGCCCAGAGGGCCTATGAGTGAAAGCAACGTTAGGGGTCCTATTGGCAGTGTCCATGATGGGTGCTTCACTTCAGTCTCCCAAAGTGGGGCCCCTGCTGGGCTGTCCCTAATGCCTGCCTGTTCTAGCACTATGGTGCAAGTGATGCCCAGGCTGCCTGTGCCCCTGGGGTGAGGGGCCTGGAAAGCTTTTTCCACCTCCAGCTGCACCTCCAAAGTGTGAAGAGCACTGAGCTGTGGCCCTGGCCACCCGGCACCACTGTGCACACTCAGCCCTGGTCCCCCTGGTATGGAGACCAGGACAAGTGTGATGGCCATGATGCCAAGACTGGGCTGAATGGAGGCTGGCATAGGCTGATCCAGGGGCACCACACAGGCCAGCCAGGAGGGAGCTGGCACCATTGTTCCCAGAGCTTGGGCCACCCCTGCCAGTGTAGCCTAGGCCTGGGGCAGGGTGGCAAAACATGAGAGTGTTGCAGGCAGCCGAGATAGATTGGAATATTATAGACAGTCGAACAGGGCCAGGCCCTTGAAGGAGATAACACAGAAGACAAGATACCTTACAACTGTGGGAGGGACAGATGCTCCTGCTGTGAGCCAGACCTAAAGACCAAAGATCAAACAAATGCCGACCTCCCTAAAGATTGGCATCTGAGATTGATCATCACCCTGAGGGAACCAGAAGAATCATTAATCCAACTACTACTGGATGGCTACCTGATAAAGTCCTGTTCTACGTTCATGCCCGCTTGCTACATGACTCACTTCCCCATTTGGTCCTGGACTTAATCAATTTTACCTGAGCAATGGTGCTTGTAATCTCATTGACCATAGGTTTGTCCCACCTCATGCCCAACTAAGCGAGTTCCTATGTTCTCTACCACCTTAGACCTGCCTCACCACAGGGTTTTACTCTATAAAATCCCTGAAAGAGACAGTTTCCTGGGGACAACCATTCGGGCCCCCCTCCTGTCCCTCTCTCAGACAGGAGCTTTCTTTCCCACAATAAATATATTCTGCTCATAACCTCCATTTGTTCCTAAAATTTATTCTTTGGTTTTAGAGAGCACGAACTCGTCCAGATCAGGTTGGGAGATCATTTTTCCCCTCTGTCATTTGGAGGTTCCCTGTATCATTTGGAGGTCACCCACCTGAGGTCAGTTTTTCTCCCTATATCAAGAGCACCCTTCAGAGGCAACCCCACCATCTATTGCTACAGAGCCAGACTCTGCTCCCTGCTACCACACCACTCTAACCCTCACCAGGCTTCTGCATGAACCAGGAAGCTGTGTGTGTGTATGTGTGTGTGTGTGTGTGTGTGTGTGTGTGTGTGATCCCTGCTCAACAGGGACCTCTCCTTGCCACACTCTGTAGCACAACCCCACTCCTGGAAATCTGGAGCTATCTTCCTCCTGTAGTCCTTTCTGCCTCCAGTGTTGGAGTGCATCCTACTGTCACTGACCTCTGGGTAGCCTCAGGGTCCCCTTCTACCACTGTCACCATCTCCTGAATCCCTGGGAGGAGCCTGGCATGGGGATCAGCTACCTGAGTCAGGGAAGGCCATATTTCCAGCAAGCTAAGGTGACATGGAAGTGGCCACTCCTTAGACCACATTTAGGGGAGCAGGGACCTAGCATGGGTTGATTATCTTTATTCTTTTTTTCTTGAGATAGCGTCTTGCTATGTAGCCCAGGTTGGTCTCAAACCTTTAGCCACCCTTCTGCCTCAGCCTCTTGAGTGCTGGGATCACAGCCATGTGCCGCCACATCTGGCAGAGGTGTTGATTTTCCTGATGCAATGCTTATTCCCCTGGGCATGGTTCACACAGGTGAGCAGACAAACCCATATGCAGCCAGAGGAAATGAACACAGTCAGGTGACATTGCCATCAGTGAACCCCCAGTGAGTACTCCTAGAAGTGGGGAGGAGATGTGAGCAGCCTGGGCCTAGGACAGTGCCCTCAATGATCTTGACCAGGCACTGCTGAGACTAATGAGGAATGGGGAGGTTTGGGGAGCCCAGGCTGGGTGATCTGTGATCTGCCCCCTCCCTTCCCCTGTGGCTCTGAGTGCAAGACACTTAGTCTCAAGCGCTGTCAGCTGGTGCAGTTGAACACCTCCCGTCAGTTGGAGCCTTACCCAGACCACCTGGAGCCTGAGTTTGGTGCTCAGCATCCCCAACCACAGTTGTGATGAGTACGGTTAGAGCGGGAGCAGCTGACCCAGGGCGGTGGTGCACACCTGTAGTCCCAGCAGTCTGGGAGGCTGAGGCAGGAGGATTGCAAGTTCCAGGGACTGGCTTGGGCAACTTAGGGTAATCTTGTCTCAAAATAAAAAAATGGTCTGGGAATGCAGCTCAGTGGTAGAGCACCCCTGGGTTCCATCCCCAGTGCCAGGGGTTAAAAAAAAAATAGCTCATGGAGAAAAGAGGCCTGGTAGGTAGGCGTTCCCTGGCTGGCAGGTGGGCCAGGGCACACACCTGATGCTAATCTCCAGTAGTGGGATACTTTTCTATTCTCCTCAGGAAGAAAGACTACTCCTTCCTGGGGCCTCTTGCTGATTGCCAAGCTCATAGCAATGAAAGCAAACATCCCTAATGCGAGCTTCACCCCTCCTTGGAGTCAGATGTGGCTCACAGCCAGGACAGCACAGGTGTCATGGCCATCAGGGGCAGCTGTTGATGCTGCTTCAGGGGGAGGGCAGGCCCCAGGCAGGGAGCGGCTGTCCCAGGGGGTGGGTCCTGGAGGGAACTGATCCTCATTGCCTTTGGGGGCTGCTGGGTGTCAGCCCTGGAGAAAATGTGCTGTCTAGGGAGCTGTGGGCTCTGAAGACCAAGTGGAGGGTGCCCAGTCCTTGGGCCAGAGTAGAGATGCTGCTCTGGGACCCTCTGTGCTTTGTGTAGCCCTGGCTGGCCTGGAGCTCACAGTGATCCTCTTCCCCCGCATAGGAGCTCCTGAGCGGCCCACTCTTCTGATGAGCCCAGGACAGCCTGCAGAACTTCGTTAGAAGCAGGACAAAAGCCTACGTCTGGTGCCAGGACGTGGGCCCGGCCACATCCCTGTGCGGCACACACGCACATGCACACGTACTCTCATGTACACAGTCCTGCTGCCATCTGTGGACTCCCAGGGACCAGCGTCTGGGGAGCCAGCCACAAGGAGTGACTGCGCATGGGCGGCCCTCAGCGCCTCTCTTTAAGGGTGGGAGGCACCAGGCTGAGAGGGGACCTGACTGTGACATGCAGCCCTTCGCGCTTGGCCACACACCAAGCAGACGCTGGCCCCAAGCACAGCTGCAGTTGGATCCGCACAGGATGCAGGAGCTGGTGGTCGGTGTCCAGCCTGGAAGCCAGAGAACTGGGGGCCTGGAAAACTGAAGCCCTTAACCCCTTGGCATCCCTGTGTGCAGGAACAAGGACTACCAGCTTCAGAATAAATCCACCTTCCAGGCCACAAGTCCTGAAGTGCCCAGCCCAGGAGCCCACCTTCATGGCCACCCCATTGGCACCTGGCAGTGGGGACAGCGCCCCAATCAACCTCTCCAAGCTGGACCAGCTCCCACTGGGCAGCCCCACGGTAAGGCTGGGAATGCGGGTACAAAACCCTCTCTCCCACTTCCAGCTGCTGCTCTGACAGTGACAGAAAAGGCCTGAGCTCTGTGATGGCATCTCAGGCCATCCCCAGAACACACTGAGTAAACTGAGGCAGCCCTTCCAGGAACTGTTATAGCCTGCCCTTGGCTTGATACCCTCTGGCAAGCATGGCCAGGGCTCTGGATTTATGCAGGTCAGAGTGGGGCTCTGGGAAGGACTGAACCCAGACCCAGGCGCTGGGCCAGGAGCCAGGTGGGAGATGTGTTTTAATCCCTTGGCACTAACCGCACAGGGCAATGCCTTCCCTATGCTGTCCATGGGAAGCCATGAGACAGGACCAAAAAGTTATTACAATAAAAGACATCGTGATGAGCTCCTCTCAAAATCCTCCCCTGGCTTTGAAAACACTCATCTCATTGTTCTTGTTACTTCGTTTTCTTTTCTTTGTTTGGAGACAGGGTCTCACTATGTAGCTCAGCTTGACCTTGAACTAGAGGAGCTCCTCTTGCCTCAGCCTCCCAAATGCTGGAATTACAGGCATGCTCCACCATGCCTGGCTCTTTTTTCTTTCTTTTTTTTTTTTTTTTGTTTTGATTTCTTTTGTATTCTTTTCTTTTTCAGTACTGGGGATTGAACTCAGGACCTTGCACTTGCCAGGCAAGTGCTTATTCTACTGAGCTATCTCCCCAGCCCTTGTTTTGTTTTCATCTTGCCACTTTCTGAAGCAGGTCCAGAAAGTTGTTTTTCTAGAATGTCTTTAGCTGCACAGTCATGACTGCTTCAATGTCCTGACTCCACTCAAAACCTTGACCTTTCATGGTAATTTTGATTTTCAGGAAGAACTGAAAGTTGTACAGTGCCAGATCCAGTGAGGAAGGTGGATGGACTCACGGTCATGTTTCTATAAACCTGTCTTTTTGTTGAATGGTGCGTGGCCATGGCACTCAATGTATTTTTTATCACACCTTGTAAAGACATTTTGACTTTCAGAAGACCAAATTTCCATTCTGCTTGGTCACCAGCTAACTAGGTGGGCAGGTGGCTTTACCATTTGTGCCTCAGTCACCCACCTGACTCCGGCAGCCCTGAGCCTTCCTTTTCAGGGACCCTGGAAGGTGACAGCGGGTGATGAGCTGCCCACTTCTCTCTCTGCAGAAAGCCGGGGCTCAGGCTGCAGCCTGGGTCCCCTTCCCCACAGTTGATGTTCCGGCACATGCTCACTACGCTCTGGGCACAGTGATCCTGCTGGTGGGGCTCACTGGGATGCTGGGCAACCTGACAGTCATCTACACCTTCTGCAGGTGCCAGTTGGAGGGTGGGTGGGACATGGGGCTCTCAGGGTCGGGTGGGGAGGTAGGGCCAAGCCTGTATGGTCTCAGGCCTGGGGAATCTTGGATGGCATATATCAATCAGGCCTGGGCCCATGCTCTGCAGAAGCCAGGGACCATGGGGACCCTTGGGTTTCTGCCCCAGTAAGCATGCTGCTTCCACTTTGAAGAGCAGTCCTGGGTACCTGGGTCATAAGTCTCATTGGTGGACTCCCTGACCTACTTGGTCCTCTGGCCACTGATGGCTGAGATAGGCAGGTGACACTGTGAGCCAGACTGAGGGACCACCATTTCCCAGCTCCTCTGCCACCTAACATCACCAAGCATGTTACTGTCCTCTTGATTTCACTCCTGTGCTCTCCTCTATGAGTTGGGTGGGGATTTCTCAGGTCCTGCATATGCCTTGCCTGGCTGTGCCACTCCCTGGGCTTTGTGACCAGAGCAAGTTATTTGTGCATGAGGGCCTTGGTGTCCCCATATGAAAAATGTGAATACCTCTTTCAGGGGAGACCCAGAGAGACAAGGTTTGCAAAGGTGGCTGCTTGTGTTCACAAACATCAGCTCCTCCACCCTTTGTCACTGCCAGGATAAAGGCTATAAGATAGCTTTGCTGCACAGGGCTGGGCCCAGCAGGAGCTTGGAAGGAGGGGACAGTGGTGGAGATGAGCAGGAGGCAGACAGGGGATGCTCTGAGGAGCCTGTGGCTGGAGAGGTCTGCCCAAGCAAAGTGTGCCAGAAGGGGTGGCATTCAGAGAGACACCACTCTCTGCTTTGTTCCCAGGGGAGTACCTGCTAGACAGAGGAGGGTGGCGGTCAGCTCTGCCCTTCCTGTCCACATGCACACATGTGCATATGGGGCATGTGCAGTGCAGGTGTATGTGTGGTGCACTTCCATGGGTGAACACATGCAAAGCCTTTGTGCATAAACATGCAGATGTGTGGCATGTGGATGCTGGGCTCTGAAGTATGAGGACGCACCCTTGACTGCCTGCTGATCCTCTCAGGAGCAGAGGCCTGAGGACCCCGGCCAACATGTTCATTATCAACCTCGCGGTCAGCGACTTCCTCATGTCCTTCACCCAAGCCCCCGTCTTCTTCACCAGCAGCCTCTACAAGCGGTGGCTCTTTGGAGAGGCAGGTGGGCATCCAGGGTTCCCTCCTGCTTCAGGGAGGAGATGGGAGTTGGCAGGGATGCCCCCCAGTGTGGGTGGCCCAAATGAAGCAGGGCCTCCCTAGGCACAGGGTAGTTAGCCACTGCTCCCCATGCATGAGGGAGGGAGGAGGGCAGACTGGGTTTGGCCCGGAGGCTCTGCAGCCTCACCCTGATGTGGAGCAGGTGGAGTGCAGAGGGCTGGGCCTGTTCTCCTGAGAGTCAGGGGAGGAGGCAGGGAAGGGGGCATCTCCTTCCAACCCAGACCTCACTTGCTCTTGGAACCCCGATGGGCTCCCCTGCAAGAGCTTGGGTAACACTCTGCCCACAGGCTGCGAGTTCTACGCCTTCTGCGGAGCTCTCTTTGGCATCACTTCCATGATCACCCTGACGGCCATCACCCTAGACCGCTATCTGGTTATCACACGCCCACTGGCCACCATCGGGATGGCATCCAAGAGGCAGACAGCGCTTGTTCTGCTGGGTGTCTGGCTCTATGCCCTGGCCTGGAGTCTGCCGCCCTTCTTTGGCTGGAGTAAGTGGGTTGCTGACATTGGGAGGGGTGGTAGGTGAACTTGGGCCAGGCCAGTAGTGGGAACTAGGGGTGCCCTGAGCCTCAAATCATATGTACATTTACGGGTCCATTGCTAGGAGCAGGAGAAATAGGGTGCTCCATTAGGGCCCAGAGTCACCTAGGTAGCCTGTGGCCCAATAGAAGAGTGTCAGGTAACCTAAGGTGACAGGTATGTGGTATGACCAGCTTACATGGGCCAGACTGGGAAGTGGCTGGGCCAGCCCCGTATCTTGGAGCCTCTGCATGAACTCCTCCATGAAGCCCCCATAAATCAGAAGCCATGAGCAGGGCCAACAAGAAGGCTGAGAGCTGTTCCCTATCCAGGCGCCTATGTGCCCGAGGGGCTGCTGACCTCCTGCTCCTGGGACTACATGACCTTCACGCCCTCCGTGCGTGCCTACACCATGCTGCTTTTCTGCTTTGTGTTCTTCCTGCCACTGCTCATCATAATTTACTGTTACATCTTCATCTTCAAGGCTATCCGGGAGACAGGCCGGTGAGTGTCCAGATGGGAATGGGCTACCACCTGCTGGGCACCCCAAGCTGCAGGATGTGCTGAGTACCTGGCACCTTTTATCATGGTGAGGGGGCAGCAAGGCTCTGTTCTGGAAAGGATGTCCCCTCCTTAGTGTCCCCAGGGACAGCCACTGAAGCCCTTATTGCAACCTGAGAAACCCTACCACCCCAGGGCCTTTGAGAGCTGTGGGAAGTCCCCAAGGCAGCGGCGGCAGTGGCAGCGGTTGCGCAATGAGTGGAAGATGGCCAAGATTGCGCTGCTGGTCATCCTCCTCTTCGTCCTTTCCTGGGCACCCTACTCTACTGTGGCCCTGGTGGCCTTTGCTGGGTGAGCATGTGCCCTGGGGTGGGGGCAGAAGCCTACTCATGGAGGCTGCAGGGGATGCTCTGAGGATGCTCTGGGCCACCCCCAGATCTGGGCTCCTTGGGGACATGAAGTGGTCCTTGAAGTTCCAGTCTCTTGCCTGGGCCCTGGCACAAAGGGGAGCACTGCTCACCTAGCGGTGGGTACCTAAGAGCTACCCTCTGCAGTGACAACTGGGGGCTTTGCCAGCTGCTGCAGTGTGGACGAAGACTGGACTTCACAAGCACTTTGCCAGAGCCCTAAATCTTGGAGGTGTGTGGGCACCAACCTGGTCTAGGACCACTGTGGGTCAGGTGTCTCTGAGGCAGCCAGGGATTGGTGGCATTGTGCATGGGTGCTTAGAAAGAACGCACAGAGGTCCAAGGTCAATGGGGGGACACCAGGAGGCACAGTGGGACCTGGAGACCCTCCCTAAACCTGCAGTCTTCCCCCCAGAATTCCACCCTCCACCACCCCCAGATTCCCTCCCCCCACCTCAGCCCCAAATTCTCCCTGGCATTCCCAAGGTCTGCAGTAGGCCAGTGGCTCAGAGGGCTGCTGCGCTGGGTCAGAGTTTGAGTCTCGGGGAGGGTTTGAGAGTCGTGCCTCCTCTGTCTAGGTATGCACATGTCCTGACACCCTACATGAACTCAGTGCCAGCTGTCATTGCCAAGGCCTCTGCCATTCACAACCCCATCATTTATGCCATCACCCACCCCAAGTACAGGTACAGCCCCCTTCAAGCCTCTGGCACCCTCCCCTGGGCCCTATGGAGAGGGTGGAGCTTGCATTTGCCGGGTTTTTTGGCTCCATGGGGGTCTGAGAGTGTGTGGCTCTCTTTGAAGGGCTATCAGGGCTTCTGGAAGAGTCCTAATCTAATTTTGAGTCGCCAAGGTAAGTCCCAAGGCAGCCAGGGTCTCTCTAATCAGCCATTGTTCCCTGTAAAAACAAACCTCCAAGTCCCTGGTGTCCTAGAAAGACCCAGCAGGAACACAGGACCCAGCTTCCAGGCTCTGGCAGGTCTGGGGCAGTTGTGGCTACTTTGTGCTTAGCTGATAAGAATCCCAGCAGGCGCTTCTCCTGTGGGGCCACTTTTGCCTGATGGTGCCTGTCACTTACCACCCTCCCAAAGGCAGCTGTAAGGCTCAGCCAGTCCAGCCTAGAGGACTCAGGGTGTCTCTAGTTCCCTCTCAACTCCTGAGCTGCTCTCTCCCCATTCCCACTGCTGGGCTTTGTCTCTATGCCAGCAACCCTGAAAGCCCACCAGCATGCTGCCCCTGGGCTGTGTATTTCTTTCTTTCTTTTTTTTTATTTTAAATGTTTCTTTTTTTTTTTTTTTTTAATTTTATTTATTTATGGGTATGTGTGTGGGGGGCCAGCTCAGCCCACCAGGGGGCGGGGCTGGCTGGCATGTGGTGCTGGGGGATTGAACCGTGGTCCCTGTGCTTTTGCTAAGCTTGTTCCAAGTAGGTGCTTCAGACCACTGAGCCATCTCACCAGCCCCTGGGCTGTGTATTTCTGTCCACACTTCTGTCTGTTGGCTCTAATCAAATGTGGGGCCCTGCAGGGTGGCCATTGCACAGCACCTGCCGTGCCTGGGGGTGCTGCTGGGTGTGTCAGGCCAGAGAAGCCGCCCTTCCCTCAGTTACCGATCCACACACCGCTCCACACTGAGCAGTCTCCAGGCCTCCGACCTCAGCTGGATCTCAGGACACAGGCGCCAGGAGTCCCTGGGCTCCGAGAGTGAGATGGTAAGGACATAGGGTGCATGCCAACTGGCCCCTGGCCACGCCTTACTCAACCTGCCCCAAGTCCCTTGGCCCCTCCAACTTCCTGTGTCCACCTCTAGCTTCTGGTGGGTCCACTCTGAGCTTGGGTCTTCCAGCTCCAGGTCACCTTTTTCTGTGCCAACATGGTGTTTAGAGGCAGAGGTGAAAAAAGATGAACATTTCTGGCCCTAACGGGCATCCAGAAATGAGGTGAGAGCCAGCACAGGCCCTGTGGCCCTGAGCATCAAGCCACAAGCCCATAGGAGCCCTAGAAAGCAGGCTGAAGAGCAGGAGGGGTCCAGCTCAGCTGATCCAGGCACCTCCAGGGCCTCCATGGCCTCTGCAGTTGGTGTCAGCCCTGGGTGACCTCAGCACCCCAGGGCCTAGATCAGTGGCCCCAGGAGCAGCCTCTGCACCCTGGCTCTTGTGTCACAGCTGGCCCCCTCCTTCCTACTGCTTCACTGCAGACAGACTAGATAGTGGAGTCCTTCCTTGATGCGTTCTGGGGGTGGGTGAGCAGGGTCCCTTTCCTCAACTTCTAGAGTGAGAATTGAGGAGAAAACCTCATCTGTTTTGTTTCGTTTTGTTTTCTTGAGATAGTCTCCCTATGTAGCTCATGTTGACCCTGAACTTAGAGATCCTCCTTCTTTAACCTCTCAAGTATTGGGATTAAAGTGTGTGCCATCACACCCAGCTAATACACATCGCTCTGTGTGTGTGTGTGTGTGTGTGTGTGTGTGGTGATAGAGATGGAACTCAGGGTCTCACACTTGCTCAGCAAGCACTGAGCTACACCTCCAGTTCTCTCATCTGCTAATAGAACCTAGACCCTCCAGAAGACCACTTCTTCACCTCAAACTTAAATACCCACATGTGGGCTGGTTGTGTGTGTACACACACACACACACACACACACACACGCAATGCTGCCCCAGCAGGCATCGCTTGCTGGATTTGGTGACTATAACCTGGAGTGAGATATTCTAAGCCTCCCACCTGAATGCCTATAGGATACCAGAGAAGGGCTTGTGGTGGGGGCTGGGGTTGTGGGGACTGCCACAGGCCACCTCACACCTCACTAGAGCTCTCCTGCCTCCCTCAGGGCTGGACTGACACTGAGGCATGGGGGACAGCCCAGCAAGCCAGTGGACTGTCCCCTTGTGATCTGGGCCTGGAGGATGGAGAAGCCAGGGCACCTCCCAGGGTCCAGGTATGGGAAGCTGAGACTCCAAGAAAGGTGATTGGTCCAGTCTCCTGCCAATTTATAAAGGGAGGGCATGGGGCCTTCACCATGGGCTTGTGTGGTGGGCTGTCCAGGACTCACAGGTCCTTGCACCTCTCACCTTGCCCCTTTGCTGCCTGGGGTTGGCTGGGACCATTCTTGGGTATGCCCGCATGATGTGCAGAGCGTGTATATGAGTGTGTGTTTGTGGAGGTTTGTGATTGGAAGCAACAGAATATAACATGAGCGTGCGTGTGACCATGTGTCTGGCAGACACCCTGTTACTGTGATGCTCCAGGACACATGACAGATTGTGCCCCACATGTCTGTCTTGTGCTGAGTGTGTGCCTATGTGTGGGTGTTGCAGCCCTCTATGTATGACCACAGGGCTGGACGACTCTGGGGGAGGGGCTGTGGGCCCAGGACACCCTGTGATGTCACCGGAACACTTGTGGCTATTAAAAGAAGGTCAGCTGTCAGACCAAGTGCCCATGGAACGGAATCTCGATGGTGATTAGAGAAGCCGAGTTCTGGAACGCTGGAGATGCCGTATGCCCAGGCCCCAGGCTCCAGGCTCCCACCCTGCTGACAGCTCCCCCATCCTCTGCTTACCCCACACACAGCAGCCCTGGCTGGCAACCAGGCACCCTGGGGCTTCCCCAGCCAGCCGGAGCCATAGCTGCATCCTGCTTTTCCTGCCCCAATCTGCTTCCTAAGCATCCAAGAAGACAGAAGGGGAGTCCCTGTCTCCCCCAACATTCCTGGCTCCGGCACCACTCCCCATCCTGGGGCCTGAACTCTGCACAGCCACAGGGGCCAGGGCAGAAGCCTGGAAATGACCCTAGGCTGTGACCCCCTGGAAGACAATGATGAATGTTATGCTGTCCACCCTGGTGCCAGGACAGCTTGTGGCACAGTAGGGCCCTTCCATGGGGTCTGGGCAGGGCTTGTTGGACCAAGCTAGCCTACAGGGAAAAGCTTTGGAGGAAGCTGGTGGCACAGAGGGGACAAAGAGAGGCTGCTGGAGTTCACAAAGTACACAGGAACAAGAGAGACAGCTGGAGAGGGTGGGCATGGTCCCTGAGTGCAGGAGCCTGGGGACATCAGGCTCAGACTCCTTTGAGATTTGGTTCCCAACCTGCACAGCCTCTGCATGTATCTCTGTCACCTAAATGCCAAGGGTTCCAGGGATCTATGTGCTCCTGGGTACACAGACATGTGCTGTTTGTTTTCAGACCAAGGGACAGCTCCCAAGCCTGGACCCACAGATGTAGGACACCAGCTGGTGTCCCACCCACCCTTCCACCTGCAACCCACCTGGCTCCCCACATCCCCCAGCCCCACTAGCCTGCAGGCTTTGTCACCCATGCTGCATCCCACCTCACACCATAGAAGCCTTGCTCATATGACCTACACCTTTGGTCCCAGATCTGCAGCCTTCTGCCACCAACAGCCGCTACTTCTGCAAACAGTGGCTCCCAGGAACACACCTGGAGCATGCCAGTGGCCCAGGGCAGCGACAGTGTTGCACTTCTCACAGGACACTCCCTCCTGGTGTGCTGACCCCACTTCAGCCAGCCATAGTGGCCCACACTTGCATGCACACTGAATGCTGTAGATACCAATCTGCACCCATACTGAGCCCTGGGGTTTGCCCCATTGTCAGTGATCTAAGTTCACCCTGAGCTGGGCAGCTGTGACGGGATAGGAAATAAAAAGTAGAGATGCCTTCTGCCAATGTGATGTCGATCTTGGGGCTGAATTGGCCTCAGTGCCTGCAACATATCTGTCTTCCTCTCCTCAGTTCCAGCCTTGGGTCTCATGCTCCTGAAGGCCTATCATTAAATGTGAGGGTATAGTGTAATAGGGGAACAAGACCAAGTGTGGCCCAGCCCTACTCCTCAGGGAGTTCTGAGCTCCACCTACACGGGGGCACCAGCTGCTCTCTAGCTGGCTTGGGCTTGCTCATGGGGAAGGAGAGGGAGGGAGGCTGGCCTTTGCCTTTAAGGATATCTGGGCCACTCCTATCTTTCCTGAGAGGCCAAAGACAGCCTGCTGCTCAGGCTCCAGTGACAGTAGCAGCCTTTATCAGCTCCCCCATGGGTTGGCTCTTTCCTGTCCCATAGTGGTAGCACCTTGCTCCCGAGCTGGGCAGAGTGGAGACCCCTACAGTAAGATGGCCTGGGGCTTTAAGGGGCACATGGCAAGAGATGGGAGAAGGATGGGGTGCTGGCCTCCTGGCTGTGACAGGTGGGGCTTCGTGACATAGGGCAGAGGAGGCAGTGACATGACGTGTGGGAAAGAACACAGGTCCCCGCCTGGCTCCTTCCCTTTTCTATTTTTGTGACTACGGGCAAAGGACCAAGCAGCTCAGGAGCACGGGCACCCTACATGCATGTCATGTGTGCCAGGCCCTGTATGAGTCTAGGGTCCTGGCCAAGCCCTGCTCAGCTTCCTCCTCCCAGGAGACAGTCTGCACTTTGATCTCAGTGCAGCTCCCATGGAGCCTGTGGTCTCTCATGGGGCACCGTGGCCCAGAGCCCACACTGGCAGGAGTCCTGAGGGACCATGGGCTGAACGTGAGCTTCCCCTCCACCCTGTGCCCAGGCAGCCAAGAGGATGGTGGCTTCACCCCCCTTGCCATTCCTGCACAAAGGGCACGGGCCTGGCGCGAACATGGGCAGCTGCAGCTTTCCATGCTACTGTCAAGTTTTCCAGGGCACAAATGAGACAGGAGAGCCAGGAATTACTGGCCAGGGACCAGAGCATTGGGTGGCGGAGCCCTGGACTTGCCTTCAGACCCTGTGCCTGGCCACATAGGGGCCCTGCACCCTGAGCCCTCCAGGAACTCCAGGAGGCTCTGGAGCAGTTGGGACCCCTTCCTCTGTCAAGAGTCCCGTGGAATGACCCAGGCTCCAGGGTGGCCAGAATGGCCTGTGCCTACTCCCTGTGTGACCTTGGAGGAGCCATTTAACCTCTCTGAGACTTGGCTTCCACTGGCCAAGGTGGCACCCCTCTGGACCCAGGGATTATAGTGTGAAGGGCCCCACGCTGAGCTAGACCATCTCCAGAAGTCCTGCTATGTGATTTTGGGGGCCATATTGAGATTTAAACCCAGTACCTTCAAAATGGATTACATCCTCAGTGCATTTATTTATTTAGCATTGAATAAAATGGGGTTGAATCCAGACCTCCTCCTAGGCGAGTGCTTTAACAGCGAGCCATTTCCCAGTGCGCACGCACATGTGTGTGTGCGTGCGTGCGTGTGTGCGTGTGTGTATTTGGAGGCAAGTCTCACTATGTAGTTCAGGCTGACCTTGAACTCACCATGTACCTCAGGCGGGCCTCAAATTCTTGGCTAGCCTCCTGCCTCAGCTTCCCAAGAACTGAGGTTAATGATCCACCATGATAGGCCCATGTTACTTTTTATTTTGAGACAGGCTGTTGTTATACTGCCAAAGCTGGGCTTGGACTTGTGATGCTCCTGCCTCAGCATCCCAGAAGATACATGGTCATTTTTATGGCTACACAACCAGGGATCAATCAACAGTCTCCTGAGCTGAAGCTTTTCCTAGACTCACTGGAGGCTGAGCTCAATCTGATCAACACTCAGCTCACAGTCCTGCCTGGGGCACACAGAGCAGCAAGAGCCCTGTCCACAAGAGCTCAGCCCTCAGCCTCCTGCAGCAGAGCAGGGTATTGGGGTGTAGGGACTCTGTAGAGGACAGAGGTAGGCCAGAGCATTATGCTTACCTGGCCAGGCCTCCCTGCCTGCCTGGGGTGCTGGACACCCCTCCCCAGGGGCTATATTAGCCGGGTGAGTCACGGTGGCCGGCCAGGCACGCGGGCGGGCGGGCACAGTGTAGGGTTACAGTCCATTTATGGGTGCAGCAAGGGCAGATATCAGCGTCAATGGCATTCGCTCCTGCTATTCTTAGGAGGCTGCCGGCAGCTCTGCACAGCCCGGCAGGGAGTGAGGGACCGAAGCAGGCAAGGCCGGCGTTGGGGGCTTGGGACGGCAGAGAGAGTGGGCTGGGAGCTGGGTATGTGCACATCCTGACTCTCCCGACTCTGTTCCCAGAGCGGCGGCTGCCAGCACCAGTATGTCTTACAGCGTGACCCTGACTGGGCCTGGGCCCTGGGGCTTCCGGCTGCAGGGGGGCAAGGACTTCAACATGCCCCTCACCATCTCTCGGGTGAGTGCGCTGCGCCCACAGCTGGGCACCCCTGACGGCCAGGCTGCTGGGAAGAGAGTGTATGCCTGTGTCTGTCCCTCTGTGGGGTTCCTGGAGAGCAGAAAGGTGCACACACACACACACACACACACACACACACACACACACACACACACCTGTGAGGGCACAGAAGTCACTGATACCCTGGTCTTGTCCACAGCCAGATTTGCCTGCTTCGGCCAGCGCCCTGGGTTTGGCCCCCTGGGACAAGTGGGGGTGGGTATTTAGAGCTGAGTGGGAAATGCTGAACTTGCAGAGCAGGCAGGCCAGTGGACAGACTGGGCAGCGCCCTCATAAGCCTGTTCCTGGCAGGTTGCACTCGAGCTGCAGAAAGTTAGCATCTTCCTTGAATGTGAGTAGGTGGTTTGGGAGAGTATCGTTCCTGGCACTGACAGAGCAGGGAATAGGCAGATGGCTGGCTGGATGGACATACTGATGACAGCCCTGCTGTCTTGGTGGGGCCGGGCTGGACTGGTGACTGGGCCTCTGCACCTGCCCCTGCTCTCCCTGGAGCTCTGGGCCCTCGGGGTCTGTGCTGGCCAGCTGAGGTCTTTTTACCTTGGATCCTGCAGTGTCTGGTGGGAGGAACCTTACAGGTAGCACAGAGCCTCAGGACTTAGGAGGACAGGGACATCCAAAGAAGCCAGAAGCCAGACTTGTCTGAGACAAAAGGAGAAAGGGGCTGGGGCTCAGTACTGCTATGGTCCCAGCACTGAGGCACTGCCTAGAACGCAGCAAGTGCCCACTCAGTACTGGTCAGATAAGACCCTCGGGCCTGGGGCACAGTGAAAGTGTGCAAGGACAGGAGCTGGACAGTGCTGATGGGGCGGGAGGTGGCAGGTGAGGCTCAGGCTGTCACTGGAGTCTAAGGGTGGCCAGGATGCCTAGGCTGCTGCCCACCTGCAAAGAAAGTTTCTTCCCCAGAGCAACAGAGACTTATGTGGCCAGGAGCAGCACCATAGTGGGCAGTGGGAAAGCCCAGGAGGTGCTCAGGCAGTGTCCCCTGCAGAGAGTGGTCTTGGCATTGGAAACTGTCATGGGCACTGGGGTAGCCAGGAATAGAAGACCCCTGAGTATTCAGGTAGCCTGGGACTGGCCAGAGTCCCCAGCTAGGTGCTAGCCTTTCCCCCAACTTCACCTGGAACCTGGCATTACCTCTCTCACCACACCTTGTACCCTGGAGACTGCAGGGTCCCTGAGGAAAGGACAGCCAAGCCTGTGTCCACTCCTTGATGTGTGACGCATGAGCATTTCAGTCTGACGCTCACTCCCACCCCGGCCCCACACAGCCCTGTCCCCAAGTAGGCCCGCTCCCTGCATGGGATGGGGTCTCCCATGCAGAAAGTCCTCGGCGCCACACCTCAACTTGAGCCTTCCCCCTGCCCCACTGTCTCAAGGCTCACTGCTGGTGCTTGGCCCCAGTCTGGCTTGGTAGCACCCAGGATAGCCAATGACCTCACCCAGGACGTATGTGCCACCTGGCCCTGGACAGCCAGGGTCTTAAATGGCAGCATGGAGGTCTTAAGTGAGACAGCAGAAGAATGTCCTCACTCAGGGAGGACTGCACTGAGATGGGCCACAGCCAGAGACAGGGAGGACTTTCAAGAATAGAGCCTGGGAAGGGCATGGGCACAGGCATGACTTCCCCTGGGACACGCCCCGAGTCACCTGGGCCAGGAAGTGCAGCGTCCTGGATGCTGGAGTCCTCCCCAGAACCAGGAGTCTCTTGGAACATGCCACTGAGAGGCCATGTATAGCAAGCCCTCACGCAGCCCCTGGGGACACCTGCATGGTGGCATTTCCTGCCTGGATTCACAAAGCCCGCTGCATCAGGATGCCCTACAAAGGGATATAGGGCCAGACACCAAGAGGAGCCCACTGCCCCTTCAGCCAGTACTGGTCCTCACAGTGGCTATCAGATCGTGCTCAGCATCCCAGCCTGATCCCTTGCCCTGGGCACACTCCTATGTCACCTCGCCTGACTAGGTGGGATTTGTGTGATGAGAGGGACAGAGGTCTTCTGGCCTGACTTCATGGCCAGAAGAGACTGGAGGACGCCAACCTATCACAGTGGCAGGTGTGGCCCACCACACTACCTGTACCCCTCCCCTGCAGGCTGCATGGTGGCTCTGTCTCTAGGCCACCCTGAGGTGGTGGCACCCCTGCAGGCTGACCTGTATCAGGGATAGGGAGGGTGGAGGGGAAATGCCTTTATTTATCCTGGACAGGTGCTCTAGCTGCAACCTGAGCTGCCCTCTCTCCTCCACCAGTGAGGGCTCCAGAAGGAGGTGGGGGCTGGGCAGGGGCTGGGTCACCCCACACCTTAGGAAGGGGCCTGCAGATGTGCTCAGTGCTGCTGCCCTCAGTGGCCTATTTTCTCACCTTGAGAGTGGGCACAGGGCCTCCCACATGTGTGGAAGAGCAGCGGAGTGGGCGCTGATGGGCTGGGCCTCACCCCCGGCCTCACCCACCCCACCTGGCAGCCTAGCTTGGGCCACCAGCCCAAGGCCTCTGCCCTTCTGGGGTTTTGGTTTCAATATTTACAGGGCTCTCTCTGCTAAGGTGCTGAGAACAGAGGGTCCCTAGGAGAGTGAGGGGGGCAGGCTGGACTATTCTAGGTGCTGTGCTGGCAATTCCTGGAATTTCTAGGCCATAGGAGCTTGCCATGGGCTGCGCCCTGTGGTGCTGACAGGCGCACTGTTTATAGCCGGAAGGGCCAGCGAGCCTGGCTCCAGCTGCTGCCAGCTCTCCACCAGCAGGAAGAGAAGGCATAGCCGGCCGCCGGTCCTGAGCCAGGCCCTCCTTGTGCCAGCCTGTGGAGTTGACGTAAGGGTCTAAGGGAGGAGGGCAGGTTTCTTCTCTGTCCCATCAGAGCTTAGGACCACTTCTACCCTTGGGAATGTCCTGGGAAGGATGGTCAGGCCTTACTGGGGCCCCTCATGGCAGGGGCAAACTCACAGAAAGCATCTACTGTGCACACCCAGGGTACTGATGGAATGGTGGCCAAGGTGGGAGGAGGATAGGAGAGGGACACTGGCTGGGCCTGGAAAAGCAGAGGCCATGCACTTTGAGGGCAGTGATCCAGGATTTCAATGAAGGGGGGTGACTGGCATGTGTGGAGGGTAGGTCATAGTGGCTCCAGGACCTGTGGGGGCACTTCTGGGGGGCTCTGGGGTGAAGAAGGGAGAAAAAGACACAGCTGCCAGCTGGAGCAGTTGAGGGGCATGGAAGGGGCTCTGGCTCATTCCTGGGCCTGGGGGACAGAAGGCACCTGGCCTCAGCGGAGGCCAGATGGGCAGGAGCAGGCTCAGCCTGATGGTAATTTAATCACTCACTGTTCATCCTAGAGGTCCAGGAAGGAGAGTGACAGAGGCCTCTCTCCTTGGGTGAGATGCCTGCCCTACCAGGGCCCTGCCACCTCATGCAAACCCAGCAGAGGAGGGTGCAGGGCCTGTCTGCTTTCTCCTCTGTCCATTTTAGGAACTTGAGACAGGGTCTTACTCTGTAGCCCAGGCTGGCCTCAAACTCATGGTGATCCTCCTGCCTCAGCCTCCCAAGTGCTGGGTAACAGCTTTGTGCCACTACAGCTGGCTTGCCTGTCTGATGGGAAGTGCTGCAGATGCCCTGCAGCCCCGGGTGGCACCTGTTCCCTTAGGGCCTGTGCAGACAGCAGGCTAGCTTGGGCTCCCACCCTCTCCCCACAGAGTCTGGGGTACAACCTCTGGTACCTCCAGGGGAGGGCCAGACTGGCTGGGTTGGGACTCCAGAAATGTTCCCAGCCCCACCCAGGGCCCTATTCCACACACACACAATCCTGGGAGACACTTCCTAGGCCTCCACCACAGCAGCCCTAGTGGGCTTGATCCAAAATCCCCTTCTGGGCACACCCAGGTGGCTCTGCTACCAGCCCTATGTCATCCTTAGAGGTGTTCTGGGACTGGCTCAGTGAGACAGGGGGACTCTCAGCACCTCAACACCCACCCAGAGGTGTTGCCTGGGGGCCTCACCTTGGGGCCTCTCTAGCCTTCCCCTAGGGCCACAGTTGAACAGGAAAAACTGAGACAATGGAGGTGGGAACCAGACACTTTCCAAAGAGCACCCTTGTGCTCCAAAGGGCATAGAAAGGCTTGTTTGCCTTTGCAGCACTGGGGTTCGATCCTAAGGCCTTTGCATCCCAGCTTTTTTTTTTTTTTTTTTTTTTACTTTTTGAGGATCTTGTTAAGTTGCCAAGTTTCCCAGGTCAGACTTGAATTTTTGATTTTCCTGCCTCAGTCTCTCAGAGTGCTGGGGATACTGATGTACACCACTATGTTTACCAGAAAGACTTTTTTTTTTTTTTTTTTTAAGAAACAACAAAAAATCCTTGTGAGGATTTGGGTTCATTTAGTCTTTTCTAGGATAACGTCAGTAGGAAGAGGGGAGGCAAGTCAGACAAGAGACACAGGAACCTAATGTCAAGGGACAACAGTGTCACCTCCTCCCCCTCAAGCCAGGGCAGGCTACTCTTCAGGGAAAGGAGGAGGGAGGGGAGGCCCTGGGCTGCTCCTAGACCCCTAGCTCCTCCTCTTCTCCAAGGGCTCACCCCCACCCTGGGATTTGAAGCAGCCAAAGGCCAGGCCAGCTGAGCCCTGATAGACAGGCACAGGTGCAGGGAGAGCAGCGCTGGGGCTTTGGGAGCTCAGCAGCCCCCCTCTGGGGTGTCTGGCTTCTGCCCAAGTTGGGGAGGCTGAGCCCTCATGAAGGACATGAAGACCCGTGCCCAGGCTGCTGGGAAAAGGTGGCAGGCCCTGCCTGCTGGAGAAAGTATCCAAGGTAGCCACAAAGGTCCAGCTCCTTTGGACAGCATTCGGGGGCCCTCACTCATACTGTCACTGTGTTCCCGGCGGGTCCCCTCTGTAGTTGCAGGCACCACCTTCCATGTGAGACCTGAGGCTGCTCCTGCCCCAGTCAGGCTTTCTGCTGCCAGGGACACAGGTCTCCTGCCTCCTCTGGTAGATGGTCAAAGGCATCTGGGGGTCCTTTCATGGGGATGTTCTGCAATGGGGTATCCTGCCAAGGGGGTAGACATTAGAACAGCAGAAGCATTGGAAGATGTAGTCCTAAGAGTAGCACATTCTTGCCATAACTTTCTCTGAAATAGTTCCACAAAAGGATTGGTGGGCCAGGCAGTGGCATAGGCCTGTGATCCCAGCACTCAGGAGGCTGAGGCAAGAGGATCACTAGGAGTTTGAGGCCAGCCTGGACTATTTAGTGAATTCAAGGCTAGTCTGGATTATCTAGTGACTTGATCTCGAAAAAAACAAATAAAAGTGTATTGAGGAGCAGACAGTGGGACCCATGGGTGGACATGTGATAAAACAAGGTGGTGTGTAACTCGTGGAGAGTGCCTTCAGCCTTCTCTATACTCACAGACATCTGCACTAGGCTGATGGAGACAGCAGAGTCCCACTGGGAAGCCAGCAGGCAGTTATCCTGGCTGCTCTCAGGAGTCACCTCTGTCTAGGACGCACTTGGTTTTTCCTTGTCGCTGGTGTTTCCCCTCTGCCCCACCTCTGTGCTCAATGGCAGCTCCAGTGGTGGTGGCTCTGGAGGGATGAACAGCTGAGAAGAAATGCCAAGTAGCTGTAAGCCACCCAGGGGGCTCCACGGAGGGGGAGCTGGCTGAACATGCAGACGTGGTTTCCTGGTGACTGCAGCATCTCTGTCACATCACCCTGGCTGCAATTTAGGGCTGGTAGAAGGGTGCTGTGGGAACAAGTTGGCCAGTATTTAAGGAGGCACCTAGCACTACAAAGCTGGACTGCCAGCAATTGGCCAGGGAGCACCCTCCAGCCACCACTTGAGTCATGCAGGGCAGTGTCTCTGGGGTATGCTGGGGCTTGGCGACTTCAGGCTGCACTGGACTGGTGGGATCTCCCTGCAAGGATCCTGGAAAGAGGCTTCCATCTACATCTGAAAACCCAGGCCTGGCTGGAGGCCCCGCTCACCTCAGCACGTGGGGTGTGGGACAGTCCCCAGGTCCCCTCTGGGCACCTTTTAGGATTATCCCCAGACTGTAGCCAGAACTGACTTCTGCCAACTTGAGGAGCTGGCCTTGTGCCCAGCCAGGAAGGTGACTGGGATGTCCCTGGGAAACCAGAAGTGATTGCTGGTGTGATGAGGAGCCAGAGCCAAGGTCACCCTTAGGCCTTATCTGTGTAGGGGCCTACAGAGCTTCTCTCCTGTGATCTTTGTGGGCCCCATGTGATGTTGGGGGTCTTCCAGCTCAGTACTGTGAGAATCAGGTCCTCCAGTTGTTCTGCATGATGTTGGCCCATGTGTAGGTAGACCTGGAATCTTCATGATGCCCCATGAGCTATCTTTAGGGTCGGAACTAATCCTCCAGGGACTGTCCGCTCCATCAAGCCACACTGCACCACAGCCTTCAATGAGCTATTGCTGGGAGCCAGGAATGGGAAGCATAACATTGTGTAGGATGTCCTGGCAATGCCACCTAAACCACAGTAGCTTCCCAAGTAATGTCCCAGGAGTGGTGGCCTTCCTGGTACCTGTGGGTGTTCCCAGGTAGGATCTCAGTGGCCTCCCTTATGGTCATACCTGACTCTGTGGTGACCCAGGATGTAGGGTTTGGGACCTGGAAATCACATTCCTGCTTTGTCTTCTGGAAATAGGAAACTAACAGGGATCCTGCCCCTCCCCATTTCCATGCCAACCTTGTTCCCCCAGCAGGGCTGGTGCTGCCATTGTGCTCAAATCAGCTGGCACAGGTGCCTTGGCAGGGGTTCATTGTCCAGCCTGCTGGCCTGGCATTGTCTGTGGCATAGGGTTGCTGCTTCTCAGCTCCTGAATCTCCTTCTTTCTTGGACCACAAAGCTCTCTGTGGGGGGCCGGGGAGATGGCTCAGTAGAATAAGCACTTCCCTGGCAAGTGCAAGGGCCTGAGTTCAATCCCTGGTTCCGAAAAAAAAAAAAGCTCTCTGTGGATCTACAGGGTGCAAGCCCACAGTGGGCTAAGCCATGTAACAATCAGCCCCAAATCTCATCACTCTGCACAGTGGAAGTTCACTGATTGTGCACTGTGCCACATGGTGCTCCTCACTCATCTCTCCTCCAGACAGCAGCTCAGGTCCGGGTCCCTGCAGCCAGCAGCTTGGCTGTCCCCTCTGTCTTTGGCATTAGGTATCCAGCCAGCAGGGCATGGGGTCCTAAGGATGGTCACTAGGAGCTGACCTGGGAGTGGTGTGCATTTCTTCCACCCTTTTTCCACCAGGCAGAGCCATTCCCATGGCCACAGCCAGGCCCAAAGTGAAGAAACAGGCCCTGTGAATGAGAAGTGCTGTGCTGGGGGACCAAGGCGACCAGAGGCACAGGGGACTCTTTCCGGGGACCAGCACATCCTCAGAGCCAGGACCTTGGCTCACTCCTTTCTTCTGTCCAATCAGATCACCCCTGGCAGCAAGGCAGCCCAGTCTCAGCTCAGCCAGGGGGACCTGGTGGTGGCCATTGATGGCGTCAGCACAGACACCATGACCCACCTGGAGGCCCAGAACAAGATCAAGTCCGCCAGCTACAACTTGAGCCTCACCCTGCAGAAGTAGGTGGCCACCCTAGAGTGGGCATGGGGGCTGAGGGCTCACACAAGGATGGGACCCTGGCAGGTGTTGTCTCTGCCTGTGTCCCAGAACCATGCAGGAAGAACTGGATCCCAGTTGTCAATGCACTCCTGCCTCACATGACAGATGCAGCCCAGGGAGGATGGCCTCAGTGCCACCAGTGTGAGGACAACTAGTCTCCCTGATTCCTGTCTGCCCAGGCAACCCCCAAGGGCTCCCATGCTCTTCACTTGCCAGCTTTCCCCAGGTGGGCACTACCAACCCGGGCCAATTGTCCTCACTGTGCCTCACTTCTGGTTTCCCCAGGTCCAAGCGTCCCATCACCATTTCCACAGCGGCACCTCCAATTCAGTCCCCGCTGCCAGTGATCCCCCACCAGAAGGTAGGTGCTGACTGTCGCCTTTGGGCCCCTGGAATACCCTGCAATGTGGGCATCCCTGCCTGCTATCAGGCTTCTGGGAAACTAGCCAGGGTGGCTATGTCCTCCCTGGTCCTTCCATCCAGACATTCTGACTGTTGTCTGCCTAAGGACGCTGAGGCGGGGGTGGCTGTGGCAGAGGCACAGCTTGATCCAGGCACTGAGGAGCCACCTCCTGGCAAAGGAGCTGAGCTTGTCTCTCCTCCATACACTGGCCACCTCTCAGAAGGACTCATGTGGCCTTGGAGTGAAGCACAGGGCACCACAGAGCCCTGGACCCAGAAACCTCCCCTTGGGGACCCTTCCCAACCCCTCTAAGCACCTTGACCTATGGGCAAGAGACCTACCAGCTCTACCTTCCTGACTCATCCTGGCCTGGTCCCTGGGAGGTTATAGACTGCAAGCCTGCCAAGGGGACCACAGACCACCTTTGGCTTCCCTCCACCCCACTACCACAGCCAGCAGGGGCTCTCCCACCCACAGGGGCTTCTTAGCATGGGGTCACTGTACACACAGGATGGGGAGCCCCTACCATGCCATGAACCCTGAGCCCCCACTCGGACCCAGAATGGAAGGCAGCCTTAGCTTGCATTTGTACTCAGAGCTTTGCCCTCTGTCCGAGCACATGCCAGCCTGTGTTGAGACTCAACTCCTCCCTCCCCACAAAGCCCTTCCTTCCCTGCCCCAAGGGGCTCTGGGGACTGCAGGTGGTGGGTGGTGGGCAGCTGGCTGTACTAACATGGGTTCCGAGTCCGGGTAGAAGCGCTGGATGCGGGTGGCTCTAACCACTGTCTTCTCTCTCCCTGCATGGCACTGCCATGGGCCAGGACCCTACTCTGGACACCAACGGCAGCCTGGTGGCACCCAGCCCCGAGGCGAGGGCCAGCCCAGACACCCTGGGCACCCTGGAGCTCAGGGGCACCCTTAGCTCCTCCTTCTCCCAGACCTCAGTCTGCTCTGCACACTCGGAGGCCTCAGATCCCCGCCCTCTGCAGGCCAGCCTGAAGGGGACGCAGGACCCGCGGGGCCCGGGACTCCTTGGGGCCCCTGGCCGGCCGAGGCAGTATAACACCCCCATTGGCCTGTACTCGGCAGAGAGCCTGCGGGAGATGGCTCAGAGCTACCAGCTGAGCCTCCGAGGGCAGCCCTCGGGTGCCGGACTCCCAGGAGGGTAGGTACTGGCACTCGCCCTCTCCAAGGCTGCCCCCGCCTCAGTGCTCAGCAGGGCCTGCACAGGTGTCAGAGTGGGTCAGGGTGCCAGGCACTCCTGCTTCCCACGCCCATCCTGGGGGGACATGTGGGCTCTATACAGAGCAGGAAACCCAGGCTCAGAGGAGGTCAGGTCAAGGTCCTGTGGTCCAGCAAGTCAGTGCCAAGTCAGCCCATGTCTTCTCCATGAGGGGTATGGGGAGGGACAAGCTGGTCCTCACACTTCTAAGAATCCTGAGGAGTAACAGGAGTGGTGAGAGGTGGCTGGAAGCAGCCGAGAAGACCACTTGGAGGAGGGGCCCCAGGAGCCTTCACAGTGCCATTTGGCAGTGAGTGACACGGACCTCTGCGTGCATTGTCTACATGATCCCCTCTGGACACAAGAGGCAGGGCAGGGACAGGCTGAGTTGGCAAAGTGGCCCACGAGTCCCAAGAGGGTATCACACTCTCCATATCCCAGGGCTCCTGAGAAGGCAGTGGGGACAGCACTGCATCCTCTGGCTGCACCCTTGAGACACAGGCCCACACTCACCCATGACAGAGTCAGCAGGCACCTGCTTCTCTGCCCTGGTTCTTCCTCTACCCCATTGTGCCCCACTCCCCGTACCCCTGCACCGCCTGTGATCAGGGTGCCAGGGCCTTGTGCACCTTTCACCTCCCTTAAAGGGCTTTTGCAGAATCTGGCCACTTTGTCCTCTCTGAGGGGCACGGTGGATCTTCCTGATCAGTGCTGGGATGTACCTCAAGCAGGAAGGCTGGACTGGGACCTCTGGGAGGCCACCTATGGGAATGACAAGGTCTCCCCTGCTGAGCTTTGGCTGGGAGCTGCTTTACCTCAGTGACACCAGAAGTGGCCCACTTAGAACGGGGAAACAGAAACTCAGAGAGGGTAAAATATTTATCTAAGAACATGCAGCTATAAGTGGTAGACAGCACTGCCAGCTCTCTCTCTCTCTCTCTCTCTCTTTCTCTCTCTCTCTCTCTCTCTCTCTCACACACACACACACACACACACACACACACACACACACGCAGCTTGAGAGTCAAGCATTTCTTGACAACCTGAGAGGCAGCCTGGTGCTGTTATGCAAGGGAAGATGGGTTGAGGATGAGGGAGACAGTGCTTCAGCTGCAGGAACAACTGCTACCACTGTCCAGCAGCTCAGGGGAGGGGACTGGCCTTTGCCACAAACTGGTCTCTGCATCCATTCCTGGGGTGGAAGGCTGTGACTCAGGCTCTTACTCACGGTCACTCTCTGTGGAGCCTGTCTTAATCGTGGGCTGCACCATCAGAATGTTAGGAATAACTATGGACACCTGCAGGCAGCTCACCAGGAAGCGGTGGGCTCAGGATTGACGGCTATCTAGCAGCTATCTGGCAGCCCTTCCAGAGCTCCTCTGGCTTCCTTGGCGGCTGTGTCTCTTGGAGGTGTCAGGAGGGGCCTTGGGGGACTGGGGTGTACCCCCAAGTACTGAAGGGCGGCTTCCGTACACCTTTGACTCCTCCCTGAGCTGCTTCTGCTGCCTGCAGGGGTCCAGCCTGGGGTCCTGCACAGGGGACAGGAGTCCATGCCAAAGGCCAACACTGCCCCCTGCAGGGCACACAGCTGCTAGGGTGGCACTGACCCTGCAGCTGTCAGCAGTGGCCAAACATGGAGAAGGAATGAGTGCACCAGGCCTTTCCTAATATAACTCCACAGCAGCTATTTTGAGCTGGGTGGACAGAGGGAATTTTATCAGCCCTGAGACTGCAGGGGGCCTGGGATCGGGTGTCACAGGCTTCTCAGGGTCCTGCTTGCTGTGAGGTGGACAAAGCCAGTCCAGCTGGGGCCTGATCTCCCCAGTCAGAGCCCGTGGTAGATAGATCTGGGAAGGTGGCAGATTTTGGGGACACAGCCTGCAGCTGCTGTGCACTCCATCTGAAGTTCTCGCATGGCCATGGTCTTGCACTACCGCAGATTTGCAGGGATGAAGGCGGGGTCTCATTCTGTAACTCAGGCTAGCTTTGAACTTGAAGTTATCCTCCTGCCTCAGCCTCCTGAGTGGTGAGATTATAGGTGTGCACTACCACACCTGGCAGGGAATTGGCATTTAAAAAGCTGTGGTGTGGGGCCGGGGAGATAGCTCAGTAGAATAAGTGCTTCCCTGGCAAGCGCAAACTTCTGAGTTCAATCCCCGGTTCTGCAAAAAAAAAAAGCTATGGTGTAGGCCATGAGACCTTGCATGCTCCAGGAGGTTTGTCCCCAGTCTCCACCAGGAGCACAGTCTCACTCAGGTCCAAGCTAGCTGTCCCTCCTGGGGCCTTTCCAGCCACAAGGCCTGGACCCCACACCTCCTGCGCCTCTTCACATGGTGCAGCTGTCCACAGGGCCCCAGCAACGTTCACTGGGGACTGCACCAGCCCGACTCCTGCACCCCAGAGTGGCCTGGGTTATGCCCATGAGCAGGGCTAAGTCCAGAACTGGGTGTGGCTAGGAGGCACCAGGTTCTCACCCTTCCCAAGAAGCCACCATGGTACTGTCTCACCCCTAGCGTCCTCTCAAGGGTCTAACCCAGGCTGCCAGCGGGGAACAGGTGCCTATGGAAACTCTTTGTCTCTTGACACAGCAGAGGGGTTCCTGGGGCTGGGATTCTTGCCTCCACTGAGCTCCACGCCCCACCTCCTGACCAAGCAAAATCTGGCTGGTGCCACCTCTGCCATGGCCATTCTAATGGGCCTGGCACTCTGATCCCCCGAGCCCTGCCCTGACCACCGTCTTCTGTGCCCCTCTCTCCACCCAGGTGGTAGCCAACTCTCCAGCCAAGTTAGTACCGAGCATGGTGTGCACCAGGTGGCCCTGCATGTGTGCGTGTGCGCGCGCAGCGTGAGCAGTGTGCACCTGCGGCATGCGTCCGTGTATGCACGCGTCCGGTGTGTGCACTCGCAAGGGGGCTGCATCGGTACCCTAGGTGAAGCTGCATGGGCGTGAACTGGTCTCGGGTATGGCAGGAAGGTGTCTGTCCCTTTAGTGGCCTCAAGGGTCCTTCGCAGTTTCCTGCTCCAGCTGCTTGGGCTGCAAGCTGGTTGGGGGATGGGGGGAGGGCCGCACTGTTTGTCGCAAGGGCTGTATGAGCCTGAAGATCACTGTGGTCCTGCGGGATCCTGCTAAAGAGACTGCGTACTTGTCTGCTGGTGGAAGAGCTGGATGTGTGGAGGCTGGCGCCACATGAAGCTGGTTTGGAGGACAAAGCTGGAGACAAAGGCCAGGAGGATGAGCCCTGCCCCAGAGGGGCAGTTGCTAGGAAGAGCCTTCTCGAAGAGCCCTGCTCAGCACCCCACGGATGCCCAGAGTCCCTGCTGCCGGCCGAATTAGGGGGGAAGTTCTGGACTTGGCTTACAGCGCTGCCTGTCATGTGGCCTGGCTCCTGTGCCTGCACCCCAGCCCTTGCCCTGTGTCTCTACATCTCTCTCGGGGCATAGTGGGAGATCTCTCCATGCCAGGCACCCCTGCAAACCCCAGGAGACCGATCCTGCTGGGATCTGGGAGCCTGGACAGATAAGAATTGATGCTGCTCGCCTATGATTCCAGTACTTTGGGAGGCTGAGGCAGGTGGATCGCACGTCTGAGCCCAGCTTGGGCAATTTATTGACTTAGACAAACTCTGCCTCTAAATAATTTTTTATAATTTTTATTCATTTTAATGAGAAAAAAATAAAAGAGCAGTGAAACAATTTCAAAACAGGTTAGTAGGACAGTTACAATAACTAATACATTGCATATTGTTGTCTTCATAGTAGTTATTCAGAGGACAAGATGCAGACGTGATATCTTGTCTAAATAATATTACAAAATTTTATTCACAGTGAACTAAGAGAAAGTAGCTGTATATCTATCCTAACTCTCTTTTTAAATTAAGTTTATTGTGAAAGAGCCAATTTTTTTTTAAAGGGCTAGTGATACAACTCAGGGTTCAATCTGTAGTATTGAAAAATAACAAACACAAAATACCTTCTATTTTGGGCATTGAGGTGGGAAGAATTTTCCTGATCAGACCTGGTCAGCCCACAGCAGAGTTCAGCGAGCCTCACTGGGGTTGGGGCTCAGCTTTGGGAGATCTCCACATTCCTGCTGCCCCTGCCCAGCCTTGACCTCCTGTAACCACAGCTGTTGCCTTCTTCTTGCCTTCCCTGCCCTCCCACCCACTCCTCGCCACCCTCCCCAGTGCCGACTACCAGGAGCGCTTCAACCCCAGTGCACTGAAGGACTCAGCCCTGTCCACCCACAAGCCCATCGAGGTGAAGGGGCTGGGTGGCAAGGCCACCATCATCCACGCACAGTACAACACACCCATCAGCATGTACTCGCAAGATGCCATCATGGATGCCATCGCCGGCCAGGCCCAGGCACAGGGCAGTGACTTCAGCGGGTAAGCGCCTGCAAAGGCCGCTTGGGACACAGTGTGCAGAAATGCAGTGTCGCAGTTCCTTGGAGCTCATGCCCAGGCTCCCCACAGAGTCCGGAGCAGCGGGAGACTCCGGCAAACCTCTCGAAGGAGCTCTAGGAGCAGGGAATGGTAGTGCACACCTGCAATCCCAGAACTTGGGAAGCTGAGGCAGGAGGGTTGCCAAGAGTTCCAGGCCATCCTGGGCTACATAGTGAGCTCAAGACCAGCCTGCACTACCCGGCGAGCCCCTGTCTCAAGAAAACAAACAAAAAACTCAAAGCAGCTCTCTAGAGCCAAAGTGTCTTATCATCAGCTGCTGGGGGTTAGAGGGACATGTGGTGGCTGAATCTTTCTAGGCTTTAGTCTGTCCCAGTACAGGGCCAGTGTCTTGCCAGGGAGGGACCTGGGACCAACAGCCTGGGTAATGCTAGCACTGGGATAGTGGGAAGCCCGCACTCAGGGCAATGGGCCTTTGAAGTGTCCTTGGTTCCCTGACTTGGCTGTCAGCTCTGGCTGGGGACTATGGGGTGGACTAGGGGTGGTGGAGATCAAACTCAGGGTGAGACAGCTCATAGCACTACTAGGAAAATGAGGGAATAAGAGCTGCCCTCCCTCTATCTCTCTGTCCCTGTCTTTATCTCTATGTCTGTCTCTCTCTGACTCCCTGTCTTCCTCTGTCTCTGTCTCCATGTATCTCTTTCTGTCATCCTCTCTTATCCCTGCATCTCTCTTTGTGTGCCTTTCTTGTCTCTTTCTTCCCACGTCCTTTGCGTTTGTCCCTGTCTCTGTGTATCCCTCTCGGTGCCTGCTGGTGCCTTCTCTCTCTCCTCTGTCTGTATCTCTTGGCTCGTTCCTCGCTGCCTCCTGATGCTACAGTGTGACTTACAGTCCTGGCTGATTGCCTGCTTAGGCAACACCTCCATCCCTAGCAATACGGCACAGAACTCTGGAGATGGCAGCAAAACCAAGGCTGGGAGGGTACAGTATGAGAAGAGAGGGATGGAAGGTGAAAGGTCCTGGAGTGTTCCTGCAGGGCTTGGTGGCGGTGCCATGCGAAGCTTTCAGTTAGTTCCTAAGGGACAGTTTCCACGGGTCTCAAGCCTGCCAGGCCAGGGCTGCAGCTCTTTGCAACTCTTGACAGTGTTTAAATCTGTCATTCAAAGCAGCAGATAAGACCATGCAAATTTAAAGGCACCATTAGCTCACCCATAGCCTGCAAAGCAAAGCTGCACCTTGAGCTCAAGGGCTGCCATGGATTTCCTGTTAACCAAGTTTGCCTTGTAGTCCTCCACAAGCTCTTAAAAGGGGTAGCAGCTGCCCAAGACATGTATGATGGGAAGCCACGGAAGAAGTGCTCCCACTAACTTCGCATTTTTGCCCCTCAGGAGATAGCTGTCATTTGGTTTTGCTGTTAGGGTACCCATGATTTTGGGAATGATGTTCTGTTGATTAAGTTTCCTGAGAGATCTTTCCCCTCCTGCCCATGGCTTTCTCTCCCCACTTGTCCCTTTTCTCGTGCCTGGGAGGGACCACCCTCCCTTCCTCAGTGCTGTGAAGCCTGTGAAAACCCTCTCCAACCCTAACATGTTCCCATCACTCCTATTAATGTCCCGGTTCCTTCCTTATTGACCATGTTCTTTTTCTCTTTTTCTCCCTCCCTGCCCACCCACTCCCCTAACTCGTTTCCACCCCACCCCCTCCTGTCTGTGTGCGCCACCCATGATGGATGCACACTCCTGGCTGGGGGCCCCTCTGCTTGGCAGGGCGTCACCGCTGGCGTAAGTAGATCCCGCAGTGTCTGTGCCGTCACCGTTACCCATCTGTCTGGTTGTGGGATGCCTGTGGGTTGGGTGGGATCCATCCAGATGCTCTGGCCCTGTTATTCCAAACACCTACCTGGCAGCAAAACAACACCCCAGGCAAGCGCTTGGCTTTGGGGCTTAGCCCCAAACCCTGCAATGTGGACACAGAAATCAGAGTAAGCTAGCTGTGGTGGCACACGTCAGCACTCAGGAGGCTGAGACAGGAAGGTCACTTTTCCTAAGTGCCCTGGAGCCGAATAGACCCTCATGTGCATTATTTGGGCTACTCTGAAGCACTCTCATGAGGATAGATCTGTAGGAGGCAGTGCCTCCCGAGACTACGCACCTGCAGGAGGTGAAAGATGCCTCCTATTTGGGGTGAACCCCACAGGGTACCTTGAATTGTGGTGACCAAAGAGTCTACTGTGGACAAGACTGTGGTGCAGGATTGCAGAGCCTGCCCCATGTTCTCTACATGTTTCCCTGAGCCTTGGAGTCTGAGTGGATAGCAGGGGACAGCAGTTCCTTTATTAGATGCCCGATCTCTGTTGGAAACAAAAAACGAATCCCGGTCTGCAGCAGGGTGGGAAGGAAGCCTCACGGGGGCTCCCTCTAGGTAGCTTTCTTGAGCTTGGAGCTGGGAAGGTACAGGGTCGCTCCTCCGGGCTTGTGCCAGGGAGAGGTCAGCAAAGACCTCACATCTGCGCTCTGGATGCCAAAGGCCATGTGACAGGCTCGAGGAAACATCCTGGGACACAAGGCCAATTCTCTGACCAGGCACTTTCAGGAATAGGGAAAGACAGATGAAGGGGGATCCTCTTAGATGAAGGCCAGCCCAATGGCCTCCCAGAAGTGTACTTCCTGTGCTTCTGTGACTGTGGGGGCCTGAGAAGATCGTTTGGGGAGCCAGGAAACCTGTGTCTCACCTCAGTGGAGGCCCCCCGCCCAGTTGTGGCCTGGAGCTGGCCAGCAGACTCCATTGGACCTCTGTTCTGGCCTCTAAAAGAGCAGAGGGCAGGGCTGGCAAACTGTTCCTGCTGTGGTCTTTCCCTGGGCCACCCTGACCTCAGAGGGGGCAGGGGCCTGGATTCCCTGGGACCTTGGCCAGGGTGATGGACAGCTATAAAGCTTTCCATCCATGCCTGTGCTACAGTGGGTCCAGGCCGGGAGGCCCTGTAGTCCCCTTCTGGCTCTGACACAGAATTCATTCATTCAGCTAAGAATTAGGGGCATTGATGATGTGCCAGATCTTGGGACTCTGAAGGAGTCCAGGATTCCCCAAAAGCCTCTGCTCTAGAACAGGGGGTCTGTGACGTGCACACAGTGCCCCCAACCTCCTGGGCCTCTAGCCATGAACCGTACTGTTCTGTGGGCCATGCCAGCACCACGCAGGTCCAGCTGTCTCCAAAATGGGGCCTGCGCATGGAAGTGAGCCAACTTTACAAAGACCTCTCTGCCTCCTCCTTCCTCAAAAGGGATCCAGCCCTGGGTGGGGGCACTGGCAGGCCTGGAGTTAGCAGAGGAATGGCTGACAGGGGAGATCCAGACCTCCTGTCCCATGGATAGAAGGGTAACCACCTCACTAGGAGCACGTTGAGCACTGAGGCCCCGGCTACCCTGCCCTCATCCCAGATCTCTGACAGTGGTGGCTTCAGAACAGGAGTTGGGGAGGGGGAGGACCATAGGAGCCCCGCCCACGCCTCACTCTGCTCCCAGGAGCCTCCCGGTGAAAGACCTGGCAGTGGACAGCGCCTCACCAGTGTACCAGGCTGTCATCAAGAACCAGAGCAAGCCCGAGGAAGAGGCTGACGAGTGGGCCCGCCGCTCCTCCAACCTGCAGTCTCGCTCCTTCCGGATCCTGGCCCAGATGACAGGGACAGAATACAGTGAGTGATCCATCTGGTGGGGCCACAGGCCAGGTTCGTGGGGTCCAGCGGCCGCAGCTTAGAATCCTTAGCTGCTGGCCCCGCCTTCTGGGTTGTCACGTGACAACGTCTCCTGCCGCAGGTCCTGACCTCATCACAGGCAGCAGCTTGTCCTGCAGCCTCCAGGCACCGTGACTGTCCAGGGCTGGGACAAGAGCATGTTATAGAGTCTGATGGCTCCCTCTGAATGTCGTCACACCTTCCCAGCCCCCACCTCTGCGAGGTGCAGACTTCCCTTTCACGGCTCTCAGACTTAGGACAGGAGGTGTTCAGGGCCTGTCCCGATCCTGGGGTCCACTGTTCCCTAGTTCCAGTGGCTTTTTCCTTATGCTCCCTGTCTCCTTCTGACTGACTCCTCTTTACCCACAGTGCAAGACCCTGATGAAGAGGCTCTGCGAAGGTCAAGGTAGGTCCCTGAAATCAGCCTCTGTGGCCTTGTTCTCGCCCTTTCCCTCCCTGGCAGCTCCCCTCACAGACTCACAGAAGGGCCTCTCAGGTTCAGGCATGCACCCTCATGGGGCTCCAGCCAACACCACACCAGGCGGCTGTGCCTGTTGCCAAGGCAGGAGCTGGGGGGTGGCTCCGTTTCCCTGGCTGGGCTGCAGGAGCAAGAACTCTGGGCTCTCCTGGCTCTGTCCTGGGCAGGGCAGGGCTGCTTTGGCCTTCGATGGGCTGCTGAGGAGGAGAGCACAAGGCAGTGTCTTGCCTGTCCTCTTATTTCTAGGCCTGTCCCCTGTGATCTGAAAGCTGGGCACTGGGGGCAGTCATGCAGGGGGCCAGCTGGGTATTGGACCAGACCCTGGGCCCATCGATACACCAGCTCCATAAATTACTCAGAGTATAACAGCAACTTCAGGAAGGAGGAGTCCTGAAGGCAGAGGAACATACAAGGCAGGAGCTCAGAGGGGGTCCACCTGTTGTCATCACTGGGGGCAGGTCAAAGCCTCAGCCATCACAGCCTGGCAAAGATGATAGCCCTGGGCATGAGGGGGCATGCTGCCCTGAAAACCACTGGAACCTTGGTGAGGGTCTTCCATGGTGAGGCACAGGCTTGGTGTTATGTCACTTCTGGTAGCAATAGGTTATTGGCCTGTTCTTTTGAGCAGTTGGCCTTGGGCCAGCACATCCTGTGGCATCGGCGTACTGGGCAGGGCTGGGGCCCAGAGCCATGCTCCCACCCTGGGCTGAGCTTTCTATCTGTGCTAAACAACAGCATGTGGCAGCCACAGGGCTCTGAGAGAGGTGGATTCTGGGGCTGATGGAACTTGGAGCAGTTTCCTGCTGAATCTACCTTTTTGCTGCCAACCCAAGTTGCTTCTGCTTTCTGGCTGGGCATCTGAGCTGAAGAGTGGTCCTCCCAGACATGCAAAGGATGGCATGCAGCCCCCGAAATGGCTCAGAACCCTTAGTGGCCGCAATGCATCTACACAGTGTGTCATGCCAGAGGTCTGATTCAGCTCCAAAGTGTTGCTTGTGCTGTTTTCCGTGTGGCTTTGCCTTCCCTCTCTGCCTCTTCCTTCTGGTCATTGGTATTCTTCTGCCCAGTATTCACAGCACTCAGGTACATGTGGGCCTCACTGGCCAGCCTCCTTAGCAGGGAACAGTCCCTGGCAGAGGAGAGGACAGCAAACTTTTGTTTTTGGTTCCCAGGATAGTCACAGGTACTTCTGGCTTATTGAGAACATAGAGGAAGGATGGAGGCTGAGCCTTGGGTTCCTCCTCTCTTCTCCAGAAATATCTGCCTGGTCTTATCTGAGGGTGAGTCTGAGTCAGGCTTTCCTCTAGGATCCAAACTCCAGGGTTTGGGAAACTTTGCAGCAGTTTTGCCCCAACCCCCAGCTACTCTAGGGTTTTACCATCAGAAGCCCTGGGAGGGCAGCTTCTACCCCATCAGCACTTCCCCGAGTCTCAGGCCAGCAGCAGAAACACTGGGCACCAGCCAGCTGCTACTCTTCACCTCTTTCTAACTCTAGCTCCCACAAGGCAGCCTCCAAGAGGAGCCCCCTGTGTTGTGTAGATCTGGGCATCCCTGGTACCTGGACAGAGCAGATATGGGGGGCAGTGGCTCCATCCTGTGTGTGGGAGGCCAGATGATATCTATGGTCCTGTCATGGCTGGGCCTCGCTGGCCCACGTGGTCCTTGAGCAGAAGACAGCCTGCTTATCCCCTGTTAAGGGGGATTCTACTCTGAGTTGGAAGGCACACACCAGACCCATCTGAGGGGAGTCTGCCTTCTCTTTTTGCTTGCAAACTATCACAGCTCTGAGAATCTCGGGTGAAGACTGGGTTGCCCAGGGCATTGAATATCTTTTTGGCGATGCCTGGGCCATTGGACACCTGTGCAAAGTTACCATCTCCCTACTGTGTGGTGCATGAGTCATGGCAGGTATTCTATGCAGGTTAGGATCCTTGCAACCCTAGGGCTGGTAAGATAGCTCAGTGGCATAAGCACCTGCCTGGCAAGCACAGGGTCCTGAGTTCAATTCCTAGTTTCAAAAACAATGAAAAAAGAGGATCCTTGCAGCCCTCTCCCTGCTGTCCCTGCCCCTGCAGTCTCGTGGCTTCCTCCAAATGAAACCCTAGAGACCACTCCTATTCCAGGGGTGTCCCTGGTGCTGGCAGCAAGCAGTTCCCTTCTGAGCCTCAAAGTTGCCTTGTGGAAGCCCTAGACTGAGTCTCCACTCTGGGGATCTGCAGAGGGGCCCTGGGCAGTGGAGCATCACCCTCACAGGGTGCCCTCTGTGCCTTTGTAAATTGCCCAAGTCACTGGCTCCCACGGGAACTCCTCCAATAGGTGTAGGTGGCTCCTGGCTCCCAACAGTGGCAGCTGAGCACTGAGAGTACTGAGCCCTCAGCTCCCAGTGTGCATGCAGCTTTCTCTGACTTCAGAATGCATTTGGAGGCCCTGGTGGTAGGTCATGGCACACTGAGGTAGAGCAGGCCTGGCTCTGTCCTGGCTGAGGCTGGAGCTCTCCACAGAGGTGTGACCTGCCTAGGGACCTAGTTATGACCTGGATATCACCTGTCCACACAAGTGTGGTATCTGGGTGTGCGCTGAACCTCAGTATTCTGCCTGTGATAGCATTCCTACCACTGGAGCAAGACTTAGTGACAAGGGGAGTGGGAGATGACAGTCCCATCACACACTCCTCCTTTAGGGGCATAAAAATCCTCCCCTACCCCTTCTCTATCCTCCTGCCCCTCCTCCCACTTCTTGCAGAATGCAGAACTCTAGTTTCTCCTCCTACACCAGTGTTGCCCCCCTTCTCCCCCTGGACATTCAGTCACTCAGCTCTGTCCCTCCTCCAGCCACCAGGTTTGTTCCAAATTTTGGTTGACTTTCTCCCCCAAAAGGGACCCTTAGAGGAGACAGTAGCCAAGGTTACCTACAGCTGGTGGGCCTCTGGTGTGCCCAGGCAGTTGGAAGAGACCAAGACCTTCCTGGGGGTGCAGCTACATAGCCCCAGGGGGCCCTCCCTTCCTTTCTCTTGCTTTCACTCTTCCACCCACCCCTTCTTTTCCCTCCTCCTTTCTTTGGCCAGTTGAGACTTCTTAAATAGCGCCACACAAAGGAAGTGATAGGGCTATGCCTGGCCTGTCACCAAGCGCTGATGGTAAAGTCACCCAGCCTCAGTAGGTCTTGCAAAAATGAACAATTTACAGACAGACAGCTGGCTGCGTCTCATTTTGCACCCCCACGTCCTGGGCAGAGTCTCTGTGGGACAGTCATGATTGTAGTGTGCTCGGCAGGGCTGTGCGGGCCCTGCCATGGAGCCTCTGCTTGTGCCATCGTCATGCCTTCACCCCGAGCTCAGAGAGGCAGATACATGGCAAGGAAAGAAGTGCCCACCACTTAGGTGGTGGTTTCACTGCTGAGTTTCTCTGTGGCTATAATAATCTGCCTGGGCATCTCTGGGCCTCTTTCCACCTAGCTGAGGAAAGGCTGGGCTAGAGCAATGGTTTTTATCTACATTGTCTATGAGCCCTTTTGTCAAACAGTAGTACATCAAGACCCAAATATGCTGGACTTGAGGCCGAGTGGGCGTGTGGGGAGGCGTGAGGAAGCCAATCTCTGTGAACATTGGGTCAACGCCTGGTAGATGCAGAAATATCAGACCACAGAGCTGCAGCTTCTGCTCTCTGAAGTTGATCTTCCTGATTCTTATGTGCTGGCAACTTTCTTTTTTTTGGCGGAACCAGGGATTGAACTGACCCTTGCGCTTACTAGGGAAGTGCTTATTCCACTGAGCCATCTCCCCAGCCCATGGCAACTTATTTAAGTCAAGCTTTTTAATTCAAGATCATTGCTAGCTTATGGGCCATTGCACTGTAAGAGCAACACGGGGAAATCCCTGAGCCTCTATCCTGTTCCCATCGGGTTAGCATCATGCAAAACTGTCTCAGCATTGCCGCTGACCTTGCCGCAGCAAGACAGTCTTGGCCACCCCTGCTGCCCCTGGCCTAGGGGAGGCTGTGCTCCCCATCCTGGGCAACTTCCAATCTCTTGTCTCTTCTGTATTTTCATCATTTTGTCGTTTTTAAATGATGTGACCCAAATGGAATCGTAGAGGACACGACCATTTTAGGATTGGTGGTTTTTAATTGGGTGTCATTCCCTGGGGATCTGACCAAGTTGTGAATGTACCTATATAGGTTGAGCCTCCTTAATCCAAACATCCAAATGCAGAAATGCCAGAAGTGGAAAATTCCACACTCTACCCCAAGTGATGAGTTGAAGGCAAAATAGAGGTACAAGCCGGACAAAGCACTGCTCTCATAATCCTATCTACACAAGAAGCTGAGGCAGGAGGGTTGCCAGTGTGAGTTCAACCTATGCAACTTAGTGACTTAGTAAGAGCTCGTCTAAAAATGGAGGTGGGGCTAGACATATAGCTCAGGGCTAAGACCCTGGGTTTAGTCACCAATAGAGGAAGGAAGGAAGGAAGGAAGGAAGGAAGGAAGGAAGGAAGGAAGGAAGGAAGGAAGGAAGGGAGACTTGGGTCTCCAAAATATCTCATTATGTATATACAAATATTCTAAAATCTGAAACATTTCTGGAGATGAGCATTTTGGGTAAGGAATGGGCAACTTGTAATTTGTTCATTTTTACTACTCAGTAGCATTTTGTGGTATGAATAGAGCAGAAAATTTTAATTTTTCATTGTTGGTGCTGCTGGGAATTAAACACCGGGCCTCACATATGCTAAGCATGTGGTACCCCGAGCTAGGTCCTGAGTTTGTGGTAAGTGTGGCCCCTCAGGCCCAGGGGATGGCTCCGGCCTGGAAGATGAGTGAGGTGCCTGGGGTTGGGCCTGCTGGCCACCTCTGCCCCACCCTATCTCTGGCTGCAGCCTGTCCATCTGTGGCATCTGCTCCTCTCATCTGAGTAGGCTTTAAGCTGAGTCC